TGCGGGCCTATATGAATAGGCAAATCTACTTCTCTGATGACATACTTCCTCAATCCATCAAAATATTTCACAATTATTCCACTCGGGCGCATAGGAGTTCCCTAGTACTTCAGCTTCATGAGTGTGCTCCTCAGTATGACATTAAAAGCAGACCCATTATCAATTAGCACATTGGACAATGAGTCATTTTTACAATTCATGCAGATATGGAGAGCCAGGTTATGATTCCTTCCTTCATCGGGAAATTCGTCATCACAGAAACTCATGTTATTACATGATGTAATATTCCCTAAAACACTACTGAATTGGTCCAAAGACATATCACTTTCCACAAAATCTTGATTTAATACTCTCATCAAAGATTCCTTGTGGGTAGAAGAGTTCATTAACAAGTCTAGAATAGATATCTTAGATGGGGTCTGCAACAATTGATCTACAATCTTATAGTCACTCGTCTTGATAATCTTCAATAGGTCATCCACATCTATTTCTAGAGCTGTACCACTAGATTCCCCCACTACTTTCTTAGGTTTAGTACTTTCAACAACCTTTTTATCAACATTACCAATCCCTCGAATGACATGTGTGAAAACACGGCCACTGCGGGTCACTCAGATGACTCCAGCAATATTCTTGACATCAGACAAAGGTTGGATGGGAATTTCCACGCCATCCTGCAAGATGGTCACATTATATTTATATGGCATGACCTTGTCTGATTCGTATGGTACATGGCCTAGCAGGAAAATAACCACTGGAGCAATAACTAACTTGCTATGGTACTCAATCTCTATAGGGACAATAAAACCAAAACAAGGAACAATGACATTCATCCTTTCTTCAGAATACTTAGACATCACAGGATCATTGTTGGAGAACATATCTTCATTAGAAGAAAAGAACTCATCTGCAGAAACATATTCATCATCTAACACAATCTCAGTCGAGCAATCTTCAATCACATTAATAACATTGTAATCATCTCTATTGCCTGAGACTTTGGTAGTACCATTATCCAATAATAACTGAACACCCCTTTTCACAATGGAACAACCACGAGAATCTCTGCAGCAGATCTGGCAAGACCCATAATGGTGTTTTTCTTAGCCATCCATGTGATAGAAGGTAGCGTGCAACTGCACCAAATCATCATTCATATGATTCACATCAAAAATCTAGAATTCACTGGGACATCCATAGACCATATTCACATTTTCTTCGTACTCTTCCATAGGCCTAATTATATGAATGAGGCCTTCATCCATCATTTTCTGAAGATCAACTTTTATCTTATCACATCCATGGATATCTGTACTGCAAACACTACAACCAGCATAGCCATGCGTATAATAGCTGAATTTACAAAGATCTACATTCATCTTTACCAAATCTCCTCTATCTAGGTTGATATCGAAATTTCGGAAGTCCCCAGAACACCCAACAACCATATTTACAACATTTACTTCTCCATGTTTAGGCAAAGGATTATCTTTCACGTTGGGACCAACATCTTTAAAGGATAGGAGACCAGATCTCACCATCTTTTGTACTTCAGATTTCAAAGGATAACAAATCTCGATGTTGTGCCTTGGGGCTCCTTGATGAAAAGCACAAGTCTGATCAGCCTTATAATAATAGGGTAAAGGTGAAGGTATAGAAGAGGGAGGCCTGGTTTGAACCAACTTTTTCTGAATCAAATTCGGGAATAACTCTGCATAGCTCATTGGGATAGAGCCAAAGTCCCCTCTATTCTGACTTTTCCCTTGATTCCCTCGAGGAGATGGTCTCCGATAGGAAACAATGGTTAGAGCTACATTGACAACTAGAGTCACAGAAGCAACCTGTTGCTGGTACCGATGATGTCTTCTAGGTTGTTTAATCTTTCTTTCCCCAATAATGGCATTCGTTTCAATTTCTTTCTTTCGAGAGAACCCGTATGACGACTTCTTTGTCCCTTCATCTTTTGTCAGGCGCCCTTCTCTGACAGCTTCTTCTAGTCTAACACCCAGGCTTACCATTTTAGTGAAATCACTCGGCGCACTGGCAACCATCCTTTCATAATAAAATGATCCAAGGGTTTTCAGTAAGACCTTGGTCATTTCTTGTTCTCCCATAGGTGGTACCACCTGGGAAGCTACCTCGCGCCAATGCTGCACATATTCTTTGAACGACTCCTTATCTCTCTGAGCCATTGCCCTCAACTGGTCATGGTCAAGTTCCATGAACATATTATACTTATAATGCTTGATGAAGGCCTCACCTAGATCATTGAAGGTGCAGATACTGCTACTGTCCAAACTCATATACCACTTCAGAGCGGCACCAGTTAGACTATCTTGTAAGAAATGAATAAGCAAATGCTGATCATCAGTATGGGTGGACATTTTCCCGATATACATCACGAGGTGGTCATGAGTACAAGAGTTACCCTTTTACCTCTCAAATTCTGGCACTTTAAAATTCGCTGGCACCTTCACATTAGAAACTAGGCAGAGTTCACTGACGTTCTATCTAAATAATTCTTTTCCTAGAAGGGCCTTCATTTCCTTCTGCATCTCATTGAACTGATCTTGAAAGTCATCCAACCGATCATAAAAACCCATACTTTCACTTGGTGGAGGAACATGACGATAAACTTCATCATTAGCAAACGACATAGCATTCACCGAACGAGGTGCAATATAATGGATCTCATTTCTAGCCATAGGAGTAACATGCACCACAGGAGGTACGGGAGTAGAAGCAGTTTGAACAACTGGAGCAACTTGAGCATCAAGATTGTAACCTTCTGGCATGAAATTTTCAGGCATCCCCCACGGGTAACCCTGAGGCATACGATTATGTGCAACAGTAATTGGAGTAACAAAAATGGGAACTAATGGACCTTCAGAAACAATTGTTGTTTGTTGTGGCTGAGCAGAAGGAGGAGCAACTGGTGGCTGATTTTGAGCAGCCACCAATGATTCCATTAAAGTAGTTAGGTTGGCCATATCCTTCAAAGCAGTAACCTCTTCGCGTAGCTCGCGATTCTCTTGTTCAAGATTCTCCATTTTCTTCCTGGAATTAGCCCGAGTATTGTATCGGTGAGATAGCTTGCTGAACGAAGTAGAGAAACACAGTAAGACTCCTGGATATGAACAGAAATACAAGAAATATATGCAAGATGATGCATGATATGCAATTCACATGATTTATTTATCGTTAATAATATTTTAAGGGACTCAAAGAATTATAGATGATTTGAAAATATTAAAGTACTAACACATTTTTAAATAATGAAAATCTCATTATAATAATTTCAAAATGAACTACAAATTTTAGTACAAGTTTCAACAATCCTAAGTATAAGAGAAGAGAGAATCTAAAAAGGAAAAGTTGATGAAGATCTCTCCACACACTGGCGCTTTACCGTGAGTCTTGCAATTTGAGAATTCAACTGCTTATTCTCTTCTGCACACCTGTTGGCGACCTCTTTCCAACTATCAGAGTCAGGAAGTTGTTGGAACCAATTTTTTAATTAGAGTCGCCATCCTTAATTTTTATCCTAAAGGAAGAGAATATAAAGGAATAACCCTAAAGTTCGGAGATTCTAGATTTGGACTCAGTTCTAGACGAGGGAAAGGTGTTAGGCACACCTTTATCTACCATGTTCACAAGGATACTAGGTTTAGAAGCGCATTTTAAGAAATAGGGTTTTAATGCTTATTAGGGGAAAAGAAAAAAAGGTTTAATTTTATCTATGGGGAATGGTTTAATTTTGATCAGGGGGACTCGCCACGATTTTAATCGTATGCCTATGTATCCTCTTAGGAGGAATCAGAGTCTCATTTCGTAGTTTGCAGTTTGGTTTGTGTTTTTTAGAAGATTGCGTAGAATTTCTTTCGAATTAACCTTGAACCCTGCCTGGGTTGTAAATTGAGTGATCGCAGACGCAGTTTGTAGTTTGATTCTAATACAATGCTATTTAATCTCTTTTTTTTTGAAAAAATGATCTTGAAGTTTTGATTAAGTTAGTAAAAAATTATTTTTGATGTAGGTTAGCTGTTTTGGCATTTGATTTGATTAAGACGCAGAGCGGGGGAGTCTGATATAGTCTCCTAATCATGTAGCTAGGTATTGGCCAGATGTCATTCGCGGATGGTGAATTTAGCAAGTTGCGTGGATTCTAATTATTTAATTTTTGAATAATAAATCGGTAGACGATGTGTCGACCGATTTAATTACTCAAATATGGATGTCCTATTATTTATAGAATATTTGAATTAATTTTAATTATGAAAATGCTAGACTTAAGTACAAATAAATGGTGAAATTCTTAACTAATAATTAACCTAATTAACTAAATAGTCTAATCAACCTAATAATAATAAAAGACATTTTTTTTTTGTATTGTTTATTATTTTTGTATTTTTGATAAAAATAAATAACTAAATAAAATAATAAAAGTGACTAAATAAATAAAAAGTATATATAATATAAAAGAAACAAATCAAAAAAGAGTATTTTTGTACTAGGCTAGCAAAATGGGATGATGTTATAAAAATGAATAAGGTCCAATATTATTTCTTTCTAAAGCCGTAGTTCTAAATTAGCTAATAAATGATTAACAGAAAAAAGAAGAAAAAATAATAACCAAAATTCTAAACCAGTATAGCACTATTCCATCACCATTTATGTTTTATTCTCATCATTTAGAATATTAACCTCATTAAGAAACTAATTGAGAAAAAAAAGTGAAGACCAGACGTGTGGGTTACTATACACTAATTTATGCCAACTAACTTGATAAATATTCAAGTACCATTTCAAATTGTAACCAAAATTTTTAGGAAAACTTTCTAGAATATATATTTAAAAAATAAAATAATTAAATATAATATCGTTACATCATGGAAAAATGAAAACCCAGTATTCCCTTTCATTATACTTTTTCTTCTTTTACAAATCAATTTTTTTCTCAAAAGATAATAGTTTCATATTTTTCTCTTCTATAAATCAAGATCCCCACCCATTCAAAATTCCTCCAAAAAAAACTAACATGAAAATTCATATAAAAATCCATCAAAACAGTACGTAAACAAACATAATGAAAGCTACTTACCGGTGGGGTTGGATCGATAGATCTGTCGGTGTCGTTCACGGTGAAGGTGGTGCGGAGTTGGTCGGGGTTGTTCCAGTGCAGAGGAGCTACAGGTGGTCGCAATTTTCCCGCATCAGAGGCGGTTACCGTCGTGATGCTCGTCGTAGTCGGAGCAGGGATGGAATCATCTTTTCTATAAGCAACCTGCAATAAAATTGAAAAAAAAAACAACATAAGGAGTTACAGGAAACACTATGCAATTAGCGGCGACGATAATTAGCTTCTCCCTGTCAGAAGTGGTGCTTCAGAGTTCGTCGATTTTCGTTGGAAAACTAAGGCTTGTTCTTTAAATTTGATTCCTCTTTTATCCCGTCTACATTTAGTTTAAAACAAATCTGGAAATTACTATTATTTGCGACATTGTGTTGTTGTAACTTGCTTTGTGTTGTTAAAATTGATTTTGGACAGATTTTGATTGAAGGTTAGATGGTGTGATACAGTGGTAGAATTGACTTGAGTTTTTCTTTTTTTTTTTACATTTTATCGCAAATGTTGCGGTTAGTAAGAGTCGCCACTGACTTTTCTTTTATCCAAAAGGAAAGGTGAAAAAGCGCATGAAAGACCTTTGAGATGTTTTATTGAGTTCGGGGGTTAGATTATGAAAATGAAAGGTATTAGCACCTTTTTATCCATGGTTTTCCATGGGCTCTTAGTTACTTTCTTATATCACTTGCTTTTGTTGTTTGAAATTGTGTTAGGTGTAGTTTTAAAAGTATTTTGTAAAAGAGACAATTTGTTTAGGCGATCTTTGCAATGATTCTCGTTCGTAAGAATGTATACAAAGATGTTTGTCTTTTGAAAATGTTTTCAATGTTTGTAAGATGTTTTTGAAATGTGTGTGTTTGTTTTGAAAATAGCAAGAATTGTTGTTTGAAATGGAGCAAGTAACTAGAAGCTATTTACCTACTCAAATGTCTTTCTTATGTATTTTATATTCTTTTGACACTGTTGTCTTACCATTGATTTGGTAAACAACCCTATATTTGGATGTAAACGGGACGGGCATGGGTCATCGTATAACCATGATTAGCAATGTTTGCAAAGTATCTTAGCATTTTTGAGGGACCAAGATCATTTTAGGTATGTACAGCTTCGTTATAATGAGCACTACATTTTTTATTCACCAATCGTGGTCTATGGTTGCCTGTACAAGGAGATAGAGTTTGAGATTTTACCTCCTTCAGTGGGAATCATGGATGAAACTGGGATGAGTTTGATGGAGGCCTGATGCTTGTTTGAGCTTCCTTGAACTTCCCTGGATGTATTCCAACCCTTGCCTTGCTCTGAAAGTAGCTGGAACTCCTTGGCCAAGTCAAACTGCAAGTTCTGAAGTCAACAATGGCAGATGATGGAAGAGTGATTACAGAATAGGGATGAAGGCCTGGATTGACTAGGTATCAAGTATGTAAGATGTTTTAAAGATCAAAACTCAAAACGCATGAGCCAAATGGAAGATGGATGTGCTTATGCGAAATCTGCAGTTTTGGACAGGTTTTTAGTGTTTTGTTGGTTTGGAGTGTTTCAGGATTTTGCTAATCGTGTATTGTGTTGCATAATGTTTGTATATTAGTATTGAAATGTTTTTTTTGTCAATCCTCTAGTAGTTGTTCCTTTTCTAGCCCTTTCACCTCTTTTCTTGTATTTGAAGTAAAGTGATAAGACAAAACTTTACATGCTTGTACTGGCTATCTTAGGGTTGGTATTTCTTCTCTACAAGTTGCCTTAGGTCTGTGGTACTTGTATGTGCCAAAGGGACAGGTCGAATGCTCAAGATTGTAAAGTTTGCAACAATTGATCTTTTTCAAAATGGCAATGGTCTCTTTTTGCCATAAATGGAATTGCAAGTTGGATAATGGATCAAAGTCATGGATCAAAGCTTTTTCAAATGAGTAAGCATTTAATTAAGGAGTATGGAACAAGTTTGGGACCTGTAAAGCATGGATTAGGCAGCATAGGTACTGATTGCATCTTTGTTCTTCATGAAATGACTTGGACAAAAGGTGAGAAATTGCCAACTTCATCTCTTCGATTCTCCCTACTCAAAAATGATCTTGATGAGTTCTTTGACATTTTGGAAAGCTTGAAATATGATCTATAATTCATATTTGAAATGTATTTTGAGATACCTCTTGGAACTATGTTAAAAATGGCCATGAAGTTAGGTCCAAAACCTGCCTAAATTAGGGCAAAATTTCACTAAGTTATTTAGTTCATGACCATGTATTCACAGATTTATATCTTGAGATACAAGCATCTTTAGGGAAAAATATGTGAATCAAAGTTGTATATTTCATGGAGGTCTACAACTTTCATGTTGGGAACTTTCCTTGAATCATTATGCATCATGGTGAAAAAGTGGCCTAAAGTTGAGAAAAAATAAGAAAATTTTCTATACTTAGAAAATTTCTAAGTTAGGAAAATTTTCAAATTCAAACCCTAATTTTCAAATTTGGTTTTCTTGGTGAACAAGTTTCACATTTTGACATGTTTTGATGAATTATGATCCTTGGTACTTGATTTTGACCAAAAAGTCAAAATTTGACTTTTCAGTGTACAATTAACTTTTGATCAGTTGACTGCAAATTTCATCTGTCAATCCAATGAAATTGAAATGTTTTTAGCCATGTAATTAAGTCAAGATGACGCCATTGAATACTTGAAATCACGCTTCAACTCAATTGGTCATTTTCTAGGTTAAAAATCAGAAATTTCCCTTCCTCAGTCAAAACCCTAATTTTGACCATTTTGCCCTTTTGATGATTTGATCAAATTTCTTGAGGAATTGTGATCCAAACTTGACCCAATGATACATGTGAGTTTAAAATGTTAATATGGATAAAAAATTATAAAGTTTGACTGTAAATTGGCCAAAGTTGACTTTTTCCCCAATACAACTGATTTTTAGGTCAACTGTCCAATTGACTGATCAAAAATGTGGTTCAAGGCTTCAAACTTGTCATGAGTGATCTTAGGGATCCATAATGATGTTTGAAATTCACATGAAGCATTGATAGTCCAAAAATCCTTGTGCAAACTCAAACCCTAATTTTGGGTTATCAGCGCAAGATGAGATGTCTTGAGCTGACCAAACTCTAATCCAGTCTTGAGTCAAAGAGATCTTGTGAGAAAAGTTTTGATAAATGAGAGGGAAAATTTTGGGGTATAATAGTCGCCCCTGTTCAATCTTCTTAGACCTGAATAGTTAGATTGGCGAGTTTTGCCATTCGTGACTCGAAGGTGAAAGATGATTTGACACTAAAGTGCCCATAAATTTGCACTCGACAATGTGTAGTTGAGGGAATGAGCTTAAAAGATACCATTTGGAGAAGTGATAGAATCTTGTTGGAGATGGACTTGTAGATGTCATCCAAGAGTGTTTCTTAAAGTGTAACTTGTAAGTCGAAAGAATAAGTATCATAATGGTGTCCGTGTCTGGAACGTATCTGAGCTGTATCTGGAGACTGAATCGGTATGAGCAACAGAATAGCATCCGTGTCTGGAGTGTATCTGTACTGTATCTTAAAGTTGAATTTGAATGAGTGTCAGAATGGCATCCGTGTTTGGAGCGTATTTGTATTGTATCCAAAGTCTGAATGAATATCAGAATGGCATCCGCGTCTGGAGCGTATCCAAACTGTATTTGAACTTGAAATATGAATGAGTAACAGAATGGCATCCGTGTCTGGAGCGTATCCGTATTGTATCCGAAGTCTGAATGAATATCAGAATGGCATCCGCGTCTGGAGCGTATCTGAACTGTATCTGAACTTGAAATCTGAATGAGTAACAGAATGGCATCCGTGTCTGGAGCGTATCTGAACTGTATCTGAAAGTTGAAACTGAATGAGTAACATAATGGCATCCGTGTCTGGAGCGTATTTGTGCTGTATCTGAATCTGAATGAGTATCAGAATGGCATCCGTGTTTGGAGCGTATCTGTACTGTATCTGAAGGCTGAATCTGAATGAGTAATAGAATGACATTCGTGTCTGGAGCGTACCTGAACTATATCTGATTGTATATTGTTAATGTTAGCTGTTAATCTTATCCTGAAAAGGGTAAAATGTTAGCTTGGAACACAAAATTATGTTGCATGAAATATATGATGCAATACATGTGTTTTATCAATGTTTATAATATGTGGATGTAATGTATGCGCATGTAAGCTGATTTGCTGTATTGCTGAGGAAAATAAATCCTTGATTGCTGCTGAGGATATATGGATTCTTCATGTCTTGAAGTTGGAGTATTGACAAAAATTCGGTCGTTAGAGCAATGCCGTATACTGCTTGAGGAATCTGCTTGGGGAATCCAGAGAATTTTGATGACTTCTACTGGGGGTTAATAATGGGAGTCTTTGTTCCGTTGGGGAGTATTAGAAGTCAGCTGTTATCCGGTTGGATTTCAGGCTTCAAAACAACTTGCTGGGGAATTTGGAGAAACTGGACGGTTTCCACCGGAGATTAATAGCTTGAAGTTCTGGTTCCGTTGGGGAACTAAACGATGTACTGTGGGGATTGCTCATGGAATAGCCTAAAGACGTTGTCCTATTCTTTCCACCTGTCAGTAATTGTCTTCTTTCATTTTGTTTATTTGTAAACAACAATTATGTTCAAATGCATATGTTCATTAATGAATCATTGGACGTTTTTGCAAATAAAACACAAGTGTAAATAAAAAAGGACAAATAGTTTTCTGTACTTTAAAGATATATCTCTGTATTTACTTTGAATAAGTATTTTGTACAAAGGAGACAGACATCCTAGTAAGAGGATGGTGCCATAAAAGTAAAAAAGTTTATACAAAGAAAGATAGCTATGTGCGATAATCCCACGGGGTTCCCATTCTGCTATAGCCTTCGTATCTCCGAATATCTTGTTTATTTATTGCTTCGTCCAAAGATGATTGAATTGATCAGAAACTTTGAGTTTCTCATTGTAAGTCAAGAGGTTGTCCACAAAGTGATCTGACGGGACATAGTCATACGCTTTAATTCCGTAACTTTTGCCTGGACCGCCCTTTCGGGTTTTCAGTCCACTGGGAAACCCTTTTTTGCCCAAGTCGCCCTTTCGGGTTTTCAACTTGCCGGGTGTACAAATTTTTTTATATTTTATCCCTAATTTTTGCCCGAACATTTTGGTTCGTCGGGATTCCCTTTTTTGCCTAGGTGTGTC